TCTGAGGGTGAGGCTAGGCACAGGGTCATAGTGCATTCAACCCAAACAGACCTATCTGTGAAGCTGGCTGGTCCTCACGGCACAGCTTTGTCCAACTTCAGCTGCATTGATGTCATCAATGAGTAAAACCCAGGGTAAGTCGGGGTCTGTTCACTTCTTCATTCACTAGTTCCTTCATATCATCCCAAACTGTATGTTCTGAGTATTTCTGTTCTCATTTTGCTACCACCACTAATTCAATCAACATTATAAAATAATAATAAAGGCTTCTGTTTACTGAATCTTCTGCATGCCCAATAGCCTCACTGATAAGGTATTATTGTCCCATTCAACAGATAGGGCAACTGGGGATCAGCAGAGGCTAATTATGGCCATCATCTGACAGCTGGGATTCAAATCTATGTCTGTCTACCTCTAACTAGGCTTAGTTGTTATTATTTTTTAAATTAAGCTACATGAATAGGCTAGGGAGACTACCCAGAACAAGAGTACAGGATCCTGAACACACAGTTTAAATATATATATGCCTTACTGTTAAAGTGTACAGCTGAAACTTATTGGATTTTGTTAACCAATGGCACCATAAAAAAATAAATAATTAAAAAAAAAAAAAAAAAGAGTACAGCATCCTTGGCATGTTTTCTAAGAGCTTCCTCATTCCAAAAGTGGACATCAGGATTCTTATTTATTGAGGTCAAAAAAAAAAAAAAGAGTCTGCCCTGTTGTCTATCACCACACACCAAAATTAACTCAAAATGGATTAAGGACCTGAATATAAGACCTATAAACAATAAAATGCCAAGAAGAAAACATAGGAAATAAACTCAAGGACCTTGGGTTTAAAGAAGATTTTATGAATTTGACCTCAAAGGCAAGGGAAGTATGAGTAAAAATAAATGAATAGGACTACATCAAACTAAAAAGCTGCTTCTGCTCAGCAAAAGAAACCATCGACAAGGTAAAGAGACAACCATCCGAATGGGAAAATATATTTGCATGCGACACCTCCAATAAGGGCCTAATATCCAAAATATACGAAGAACTCATATGACTCAATAAGAACAAAAAAACAAACAATCCGATCAAAAAATGGGCAGAGGACCTGAATAGACACTTCTCCTTAGAGGACATACAAATAGCCAACAAATACATGAAAAGATGCTCAACATCGCTAGCTATTAGAGAAATGCGAATCAAAACCACAATGAGATACCATCTCACACCTGTTAGAATGGCTATAATCAACAGGACAAGTAATAACAAATGTTGGAGAGAATGAGGAGAAATAGGAACCCTCATTCACTGCTGGTGGGATTGCAAATTGGTACAGCCACTATGGAAAGTGGTATAGAGGTTCCTCAAAAAACTAAGAATTGACCTACCACATGATCCAGCAATCCCACTACTGGGTATTTACCTCAAAGACTTGAAAACTCATATTTGAAAAGATGTTCACACCAGTGTTCATAGCATTATTCACAGTGGCCATGTAACGGAAGCAACCAAAGTGTCCCACGATAGATGATTGGCTAAAGAAGCTGTGGTGTATATATATATATATGTACGATGGAATGTTACTCAGCCTTAAGAAGAGATGAAATAGTGCCATTTGTCACAACATGGATGGACCTTGAAATAATCATACTAAGTGAAATAAGCCAAACAGAAAAGTTTGAAAATCACATGATATCACATATGTGGGATATAAACCTAAAAGCAACAAATGAACAGGACAAACAAACAGAGACTCATGGACATGGACAATGGACTAGTGGTTACCATAAGGGAGTGGGGAGGGGGAAAATAAAAAAAAAATGTTAAAAAAATTATGTATATATAGTATGAAAAAAGCAAACTGGCATTTAAAAAAAAATAAGAGTCTGCCTTGATTGGAGAAGGTAGCCTGGCAGTCATGCCCGGTTGGAGGAGGAAAATTCTAGCAAGGCCCTGGGGTGTTCCAGCTTTGACCCGATGTAGGAAAGAGAACCTAGATGCTAAGCAAAGCAAGAGATAGAGAGCATAGAATTGTACGTGGGCACATGATACATGGTTTTGTCCTCCATGGCACGGCAGTTATGAGGGAGAATGACCAGTGGCTATGCTCCTGGCTTGGGAGTGGTTCTCCAAGTACCTCGGGCAATGGTGACATCCCCCCCGCCAACACACACACCTTCCTGAACCTATATGGAAGGGGAGTTTGGTTAATGGCCTGGCGATCAGGAGTTCTTAGTTATTATTCCATGTTTGACACCTGGGGCAGGTCATTTATTCTCTGAAAGCTTTAGTTTCTTTCCATGGATTTCTAACTCTTAAATACCAAATATGTCATTTCTGAATAATGTGAGGTACTCAACACTTAGGTAATGTACTTGAAAGTCACACACGTGACAGTCTGTGGTAGTCGAAGACAGATAAACATGTGGGTGTCCCAGGCAGGCCAGAATTTGGAGCTCCCATAAAGCAATGTTCTTTATCTACTTGTCCAACATTTCTTTGATAGGAGCTAAGAGAAAAGAATTTCTTTTTTTAAAAAATGTTTAAATTAATTATTATTATTATTTTTTAATGGTGACATTGGTTTATGAAATCCAATCAGTTTCAGTCGTACATTTTAACAGTGAGGCATATATATATTTACACTGTGTGTTCACCTCCCATGGTTAGATTTTTTTCTGTCACCGCATATTTGACCCCCTTTAACTCGTCTCCCTTCCCCCTTCCCCCTGAAAAAACAATTTCTATAATGTTCAAAATAAGGAATTTGTTCTAACATGTTCAATAAAGGAAATTTATGCCATGCACTGAATGACATATTTAAACTTATTTGGAATTATATTTCATTTAACTTTTTGTTTTTTAATCACCAATAGCTAGATACCATTAGTTACCCACACTAAACTAAACATGAATACAGCCATAGAGTTTTCAAGTTATATTTAAAAATTCTTTTTGGCTGGCCATACTGTACTCATTTCTCTGCAATTTGTTTTCTTTCTAATTTTTAAAATCTTTTAAGAATTTTCCAAGCCAGACATTTTCTTGGAAGCCATATTAAAAGATTTTATATTTAATGCAATAAAATACAATATAGTGCAGTAAACAGCACTATACTGTGCTTTATTCAGTCTCTGAATTTTGCTGACGGAGACAGCAAACTTGAGATGTCAGCTGGCTATCTCAGGGTTGGTGGCGTTGTCTGTAATTATGTTGCAAAAATATCATCAGAGATAGACTGGCGACAGGGAGGCATGCTTTTGAATGTCCACTGGAAGATACTGTCTATTTCAGTAGGCAATTAACATTTTGCACTAATGTAAGGTGTCTCATGAGCAAAACTAAGATGACAGGCACCATATTTGTGATCATTTTAGGAATATTTTTGTGTTCTCTGTACAGGGGCCCCTTGGCCAGTTGTTTTATCCCGCTGCAGGCATAAAAGGCACTGGGCTAAGAGAAACGTGGGTGTGAATATATGACCTTGGGCAAGACATTTAGCCCCTCTGAGCCTCAGTTTCCCCCTCAAAATGGTGATAACATCTACTTTGCAGTTATTAGAGATATTAAAGTTGTAAATGAGGCTATTATTATTTAAAATTATACTGTACAGTATAATATACTTTATATTAAAACATGCAAATAATTAACATGCAATTATCCTCTTTCTATTAATCCTTGATAGGCTTATTAACATATTGTTGCTTTGAAGAGTTAGTACTGGAGCCCAGGCTTGTGATAAAATGCTGATTTCTTAAATATTCTCACTAAAGAAAAAGAGTAGCATGTGAAGTGATGGATGTGTTAATTTACTCAGTGGGGAGGGGGTCCTTTCCTGATGTGTATGGATATCAAATCATCACCTTCTAACTTTACATACCTTACAATTTTGTCAATTATACCTCAATAAAGCTGAAAAAAAGAAAGGCTGAATACGAGATGGGTAATGCTCAGTGTTCAGTATATGCTATATAATATTGTCATGCACCCTGTGGGGGATGTGTCCTGGGTCACAGTGGTTCCTAGCACAGGCTTTGGAGTCAGACCTGGGTGGGGCTGCATTGTGACTCTGTCACAAACATGTGTCTACATGTGCCACATAAGGTCATGTTGTTACTCTCTGCCCTCCAGACTCATCATATGGACCGTTTGTAGTTCCCAAAAGCACCAGGCTCACTTCCCCGCTTAGCTTTTTGTTCTCCCTACAGGAAGGCTCTTCTCCCACTTTCTGGAACTCCTATTCTTCCAGGCTTCCTCCAAGACTTTCCTGACCCTCAAGACTTGGTTAAGTGTCCTTTCCATTTGCCTACTCCCATAGCTACCCTCGATTTACCCTATGGTCAGTGCGCTGACATTGTCTAGTCATTGGCCTCCCTCCCCCTCACTTTAATATTGACTAGTATTTTGGGGTTTAGTGTGTGCTAGGCACAGTGTTTAGTGCTTTATGTAAATGACCTTATTGCCAACTCCTAACAATCCTAGGAAATAGTTTTAGCACAGATGAGGAAACTAAAGCTCAGTTAGGTAAATAACTTAACCAAGGTCTCACAAACACAAGCGGAAGAGCTGGAATTTGAACCCAGGCCTGTCTGACTCCAAACCCTTTGTAGTCAATAGTAAATTTCTAAGGGCTTAAAGGGTTGAGCACGGTGAAGGCATGTAGTAAGTACTCAACAAATAACAGCTGTTATTATTTTGACCCAACCAGACTGTAAGCCTCTGCACAGAAGGAATCTTAACTCCTTGGCACAATACCGCAACCAAGGCTGAGTCAGTGAGCGGAAAGCAAGGACACTGCAATAGCTTCTAGATTTCCCATGGCACCATCGTTTCTCAGTGAATGACCGACGTGTGTCTTCTATCACACATCTCTGTATTTAAGAGATGTTTCATTTCTTGTCGCACTGTGGCTCCTTTCCACGTCTGAGAGAGGAGGGGGTAGGACTACAGAGGGGCCCAAAACAACAGCTGAAGCTTTTTGATGAGACACATAGGAACTACCAACCACCTAAATAAACGTCTTCTTTATTTTACCAAATATAATTTATCAGTTATGTTGACATTTGTCAATTCAGTTATAGTAACTATAAATAATTCTCTTAAGACACAGTTTTGTAACTTTTTAAGGATACAAGAGTAAACCAAGGTCGCTCCTTGCAGCCAGGCCAAAAGTACATGCAGTTTGTGCAATCAGGGGAAAAGAAATGAATCCTCCATGAAAGTCAACTTCATTTTTGTTATATCTCACCCACAAGCCTCCCTCTGCTCATACTCAGGGATAGGGGCATGCCACCCTTCCCGCTTTTCTGGCAAAGGAGATGCTACAGTCTTCCAGGGCAGCCTGGCCGAACGTGAGAGATGAGGAAGGGGTGAGTGGCTGGGGCAGGGGTGACTGGAGATCACAGGGTACAGCCTCAGGGGCAGAGGAGTTGGTTTTGGTGTCTGTACCAGAGGAGTCTGTGTGCAAGTGTGTTTGGAGGTGGAGGACAAGATGAAAGAGGGCCTGAGGGACGAGCAGGAACAAGCCCAGGCTGGTATTAATAAATTCTGTTGGACACAATTCCAACTAGATAACTTCAATAATTCCCTCCGATTCTAAGGTTCTAGCCTCCAGAAGGCAGCCTGGGTGGAAACGGAGAGAGAAAAAAGACAGTATGGAGGAAGAGGGTGAGTTCCTGGGATGAGGCACAGTGTTGGTAAGAGACAAAGTCATTCCCTGGCTTTCCCCTGGGAGGTGGGCCCTTTAGGTGACAGACAAAAGGGTTTCTGGGGAGGCTGTGACTAGAGAGGCTAGAAAAAAATCCTGCTTCCAAATGCCCATATTTGTACATGTGTGAGTGTGGACAGATTTCTGATCTATTCAGAGTAACATGTGGGTAAGAGACAGAGACTCCAGTGTTCTCCCAATTTTGTGCTAGGCAGAGGAAAGTAGACGCAGCTGGGTGATGTCCAGCCTTCTAGTTCTGAATCCTCTTTTGGGTGGCTGGTGAGGAGGAGGTGGAGGGTAGGGAAGGTGAAGGTCATTTAAGGAAATGAACACTGGCTGAGCAATGGGGTTGGGGGCTATAGCTGTGGTCAGCATTGTACAGAGGTGGGGTCCAGGAGGGAGATCCACAGGTAGAACCTGGCTTGGTGATATAAATGCAAATACTTAACAACTAAGAGACTTTGTCTGCCAGATTGAAAGGAGCACGTGGACTTTATCTGGGGGATGAGATGAGGTTAGAGCTGTGTTTCCCTTTCCACCAGCTATTCAGTGCCTGGCACAGTACCTAACACCTAGTAGGCACTCGATAAATATTGCTCAAGGAGTGTTTGTTTCAGACCATGCCTGCAGAGTGCTCCTTTTGGGGAGGCTGTATATTCGCTGAATGAATGAATGAATGAATGATGAACGTAGGCAGAAACCAAGAAAGAGGACCACTGACCTTCGCAGTGTGACAGAATGAGTGATTTTAGGAAGTGACAGTCTGTGACCACATGATTATGTCCTCAGGGGAAACAGCAATAGTGAAACACCCCTGGTAGTCCTCAACCTCCCAACCATTTTCTACATACCCGTTCCCATCCCTAATCTCGGAACCCAACCTGGCAAGCTCTGGAGAAGGTAGTGCTTAGGGACGATTAGACATGAAGGTTGAACAGAGATAAAGAATTAATCTTCTGGGCCCAGGGAGGATGCAGATCTTGGCAAACCTATGAGTGGACATGGGTCAACAAGGAAACCAGGCCACTGCTCATTTCTTCTGGGATGTGACAATCCACTGGAAAAAGATGAATGGGAGGGGTTGGTGTGGCTTACCAGACAATTGGATAAGGGACATATGCATAATTCAGATAAGTCAGTCTACCTCCCTCTTTTTGAGAGCACAAGGGCCTAGGTCCAGAGGGCAGAAAACAGGGCTAGGATTATATGGGGCCAAGAGCAGCTGTCTCCTGCCTAGTCCATTTCTAGAAAAATGTGTGTGTGTGGTGATATTTATCCCTCTGTTCAACCAAAAAGAAAAAAAGAAAAGAAAAACACCAGAGCCCACTTACAAAGGGTTTCTCATTAGGGCCAAGACTAAGTTTGCTAAAGCATGTCCCCAGATCCCAGATGGAAACTCCTGCCCCAACCCACCTCACCTGGAGGCACCCACCATGAAATTGCACTTGGTGATTGTCTCGAAAATCGTACTGCTTGTCTCAGTCCATCTGTCCTGCCTGAATTCTTGCTCTACAAACTTGGCTCAATGTATAAAAATTCCCATTGAAAATAATGAGAATTCGGTATCAAAGTGAAGTCCTAGGAAGAGATGGGGGTGTGGAATGGGGTGGGGGAAGGGGAACAAGACTAAATTCAAAGAGAAAGTGCAGAGGGGTGGGAGAAATTTGAGTGACCAGGCTAGTCCCCGACATCCGTGTCTCGGTCCCCAATGAGCCAGAGGACATGGAAGCTGAGTGCTAGGAGCCCAGTGCCAAGCAGGTCCCCCAGTGCTGTCAAGTACGGGATGGAGAAGTTGTCTGGGTCCAGGCCCCGGCCCCACATCCAGTGCACCATCCAGTCCGCGATGTACAGGAGAATCAGCACCTGGAGAGACAGAAGGGCCTGTGGCCATCCCTCTCTCCAGGGGGAGCCAGAGGCCACAAGATCGGACCCATCACTGCATCACAAGGCTTGGCTCTCCAGTCCTGAATGCTGGGACAGTTCATCTTTCTACAAGGTGACCTTCCTATATCCGTGCCCTTTCCCCACCCCAGCAATTATCACCTTGAGCAGATGACTGGTAATGTAGGCCCTTTAGAAAGGGAGATGCTCTACTCCCTGGGGTCATCCACATCAGCATGACATTCTGCTCTCAAATTTACCAAATGAGGGGCTTCCTGACTGAAATCCTACATTTTGCAGGAATCCAGCCCTCTTGCCTCTAATTCTAGGTCATCCTATTCTCGAGTCACTCCGATTCCTGCCACGTTGTCCTTTCCAGGAGCCTGGCAGGGGGCTAGGGTTGGAGTTGGCTTTTCAAACGAGTTGTTTCTCCTTGGAGCAGAGTGGAATAAGGACAGTGTTTGAGGCTGCTGCTGGCACAGTTGTCTGAGTAATAGCTGATTATCCCAAGCTGGCTTCCTCCTGACCCTTTCCATTCTGCTGTTGTGGGCTCAAAGAATTCAAGTGTGTTTTATCGTTAGTTCTAGCAAAATACAATTACCAACAAGTCTGTTAAATAGAAAGCAAACAGTGCATAGCAATTCAAAAGACATTTTGAATTATCTGCTGCTTTGATTTATCTGTGCCCTTGCTCTCCTTCCACTACTCCAGACAATTAAGATTGATCTAGATTCGAACCCTGCTAGTGGCCCAGGACCAGGAGCATCAATAGCAGCTGGGAGCTTGTTAAAAATGCGGAATCTCAGGCCTCACCCTGGATCTCCTAAAACAGATTCTGCATTTTAGCGAGAGTCACACACATTTTTAAGAAGGAAATGCGCTTGATTTAGATACTATGGGGGAGTGGGCAGGCCCACACCTTCTACATGCTCTGCACTGTCCCTGACATTTGCCTTCCCTAAATGACGCATCTGTGTGAGAATGAAATGGTTTCTAACGATAAAGCTCCAACACAGTCATCTGGGAGTTTTTACTCTTGACTGTACTTTGCAAATACCATGGTATATAAATTCTGCCCTAGGGGGCTCAGATATGGGAACCAGAAGCCATAAATAATATCTATTTTTAGGCAAACTTGGTTGTTCTCCTGTCTTCATTCCAAGGAGCCAGAGGTTATGGTTCTAGCACCCCTCACATTCCCCACTGCCCTGCACATAGCTGCCTGTTACTCCCGTGGCCTTGGCCCGGGCCAGCCCTCCCATCCCCATAACTTCATGTCCTTTCCAGCAGCTTCAGAAGAGTTCCAAATAAAGAGCATGGCCAGGTGGACTTTGGGACATGTCCCGGGAAGGGAATAGCAGCAGCTGTCCCCACATTCCAGCCTCCTGAGCAGGCCCTGGGACACATGGCTGAGAGGAGGCAGCAAAGGACTGGGAAGAACCTTTACAGGGGACAAGTGCCAGGCTCTGGCCCTCCACAGATCTGGAGAAGAGAGCAGAGGTGAGAGTGTCTCCCAGCGTGCTCGTCATGGGTCGCAGAGCCAAGGCTTATCCTTCGCAAAACAGGTCAAGGGCTAACCTCCAGGCATAGACCCTCCCCTTTCTCACCGAGTGCACGTAACCCCCCCTTGTAAGGGAACGCGACGACCTGGGTAACTGCTGCAGGGATAAAGCACATGGCTGACTCTCAGCCCGGCCCTTGCCAAGATGTCCCAACATACAACCTTTCTCGAGGTCGGGGTGAGGGGTTGGAGGGATAAGCAATTACTGACAGGGGACTGGTTCAATGAAATTAGGGTACATCTCTATAATAGTATAGAATGCAGCCATAAAAAATCAGGGTGCTGTTCTCTTTATATATTGATGTAGAATGATCTCTGAGATAAATTATGTGAAAAAAGCAGGGTGTGCACAGTGTATATAGTACACTACCTATGTGTAAAAAAAGGAGGAAAATAAGAAAAAAATATACGTTTGCATATATAAATATGAAATAGCTTGGAGGATACTTAAGAATTGGTTGACCTGATGGCCTGTGAGGAAGAGAATTAGGTGGTTGGGAAGAGGGCAGAAAAGAAGACCTTTTACTGAGGTTTCACTATGAGTCTTTAAAAATTTTGAACTCTGTGATTGTTATTACCCATTCAAAAAACAAATCTACAGAAATTTAAAATGCAATAATAAGGGTGAGAGTGGCTATAGAGGGGTAGCATGAGGGAGTCTTGTGGTGATGAAACAGCTTCGTATCTTGACTGTGGTGGTGGTTACATAAATCTACACATGTGATAAAACTACACAAAATTAAACACACATGCATGAGTGCATTTAAAACTGGTGCAATCTGAATAAACTCTGAAGATCGTGTCAGTGCTGATTTCCTGGTTTTGACATTGAACTATAGTTATACAAGAGGTTATCACTGGGGAAAACTGGGTGGATAGTATATGAGATCACTCTGCACACGTTTTTGGCATCTTCACATGAATATATAATCATTTCAAAATAAAAGGTCGAAAAAATGTAATAATAATACAACAAAGGAGAGAGAGCATCATAGTACTACAGAATGGCAAGGCTGGACAGGATCTTAAAGTTTTGATACTTTTTCAATCTGTGAAATCCTTTATTCATATAAAATCTCCTGAGGAAGCCCAGCATGCAAAACAGAGCCAAGTGGAGCTCTGTGGCCGAAGCCCACCTACTTAGCCCCTATAACCACTGTCCTGAAACTACCACCTCTGATCCATTCCTCTCAATTTACAAATGTATCACTGGGCTCAGAGATAAAACTACCGGGCCAAAGTCACACAGCATGTTAGTGACTCTGTTGGAAACATAGCTTGTTCTCCTGAGCCTCTGTCCGGTGTTTATCAGTCCCAGAGAAAGAGGTAGCAGTCGCTGACAAGCCAAGCCTGGGCCTCCCCTCCAATCCCTGCAGGGCAGCCCTGGCCCCTCTGTGCCCCTGTCAAGTCCATACCTGGAGCAGTGCAGCTGTCATATAGAAGACGATGAAGATGAGTGTGAGTGTGGTGTGTCCGCCCTGCATACAGCTGATGGTGTAGAGGAACACCAGGTGTCCTGGAACCACGAGGAGGAAGAGGACCCGGGCCGAGCGAGAATTCACATCTGGGACCAGGGAGAAAGGGGATGAGGAGGAGGAGAGAAGGAAACCTGGCCCCAGAAAGATTTTCAAAGTGAGGAGGTACCACGTTACACTCCAGCGCAGCAGACAGCTGACTGGCTCTATCTCTCCATCCCTGCTCACCAGCCCCTAGGGCGCCTCAGGAAAGGACAGCCTTCCTGCCTGGGCTCCGCCCTCCACAACAGGTGGCTCAGCCCAGCAGAGAAGAAGAACCTGTGTATCTGGGTCCCGGCAGTTTAAGTGAAGTTCACTGATTATTCGCCCCCTCCCTCCAGGGCTGGAATGGACCTAGGAGGCTGGGATTTTGCCATTACCAGGACTGAAGAAGGTGGTACAAGGGCTGGGGCAGCGGCGAGGGGCTTGCTCAGAGTTCTCTCCTGGCATCCCATTCATGTGGAGGAAAGTGGAGATGCGGCTGGCCTGCACTGCTACCAGATTGCCCCCAACACCTGCAGAGACACATAAGACCTTAGACATGGGGGTAGGGGTGAGTGGGGAAGGCATGACCCATTCACAGTCCCCAAAAGAAGAGTGAGACACTAAGAAGGAAGACAACCTCCCCCATTCTAGGGAGGAGAGTTTTCCAGGCTCCTCCCGTCCTTCCTGCTATGGAGATATGGCAGTCTCAAGTGACGCTGGTGTGGCTGAGAGTATAAGGGACACAGGCAGATCTATAGATTCAGGGAGCCTGGCTGCTCCACCAGTACAGTGTGTGAACTTGCTGTTGCACACAGGTCTGGGACGAGGGCCCGCCTTGCCTCAGCCAAAGCTCCGAGCAGACCCAAGCACCCAATGCTCATGCGCTGGTTCCAGTGACAAATGTCAAGTATCAGGTTTGAGCTCTTCACTCTGGAATCTGGTACCTTGCCAGGAACTATGCTTGTTATTGTTGCCATCCCTTTTCCAACCTACTCCCTGCTCTCCTTGGCCTTGCTCTGGGCCCTGCAAGGCTGGCTTCTACTGTCCTATCACCCAACCTCCCGTGCTGGCTGCTTCTCACTGGGTTTGTTCAACGAGAGGCCCCAACCAGTAGGCGATCACAGAGGGTGGGAGGAGGGCGAGGTCAGGCATTTCTTTCCTGATCCTCTGCTTTATGGCTGTAGCTTACCCCTGTTGTGGGCAGAGGATGGCTCTCTCTGAGCTCTCGTAATCCTGTTTCCTCCCCTTGACCCTTGGGGACTAGGGCTTCCTATTGTTGCTAATCTCTGGGAGCCTCAACATTTCCTGTTGGTCCTTCTACCCTGCTCCCGCCTCTGGAAGCAGTCCCTTTATTAAAGTCTTGAGCTACCCGAGCTGAATTCTCTTGCCTGCTGGAACCTTGACTAATACAAAGCCCCCCCAAGTCGTCTTCTCCTGCCCTCTCCTTTCCCTCTGGCAGCTGAGGCCAAGACTCACCATTAATCACAGGTGTGAAGACAGCCATCCCTGCAAAGTTGGGGTCTGAGACAGTCTTGTCCAAGATGAGGCCTCCCACACTACATAAGACACAAAGACAAATGACACAAAGACCATTGAAGGGTTCTGTTCCAGTTCCCGAGATTAGAGGCACAGGCCCACGTGGCCTTGGGGAGGAAGGGAAGCAAAGTGGCTCCCAGGGTTTCTCGTCTTCTAGTCCTCACCTCTTTTGCTAGAACCAGCTGCTGCTGCTCATAACATTCAAATTGGCACAGTGGCCCCCAAGCAAGCTGGTGGTGCCAGGTCAGGCAGCCGCCTTCCCAAGCTGGCTAGAGGAGCCGCCCGCTGGGTGACCTGCCCATGAGAACCTCTGCTGTTCTGCCTGCTCAGTATTTATTCTTCCTTCTGGTAACAGTGCTGAGCTCTTCCTCAGGGAACCACCTCTCTCAAACTCAGTTGCTGTGGTTCATGTGACATTGCTCGGATGACGGTTAGGCCCCAGGGCCATGCAATCTGAGCATCACAACCCCAAGGCCACAGTGATTGGTTCAGGGATAGTCTTGTGACTGAAGAAGAGCCAATGAAATTCTATAATGGGACCCTGTGAAATCATTGAGAAAAATCTCTCTCTTCCTACTGTAACTAGAATGAATAAGAAAAGTATAAGCCTGGAACTGCAGGCCAGGCCAGCACAGGGAAAAGCAGAACCAAGAGATGGAGAATAGTGGAACCCTGATGATATCTTTTCTCTTCCTAAATCTAGCTGTGCCTTTTTAGTTCCCTAAGCCAAAGCATTCTGCTTTTCAGTGACACCCATTTCAGATGGTTTCTGTCACTTGCAACAGAAGGAACTGTGACTGATGCACTATTAAAGGCATTTCTGTGCCAAGCTTCCTCTCTTTAGGGCTGCAAAGGGAGTCTGTGGCAGGGTAGACGAGGGTGGTGGTATGGACCCAGGGCCTGGGCCTACCTGCTGATGGCCATGGCAATGATGACAGGCTCCCAGCCTGAGTACAACACCTCCCTTGTGGCTGGGCTCCGTCGGGCCAGCACCACCCAGACAGGCAGCAGTGCCACGAAAAAGGCACACACCAGGGGGTAGATGTACTGCCAGTCATCTGAGAGAAGCAGAGAACAGAGGAAGGTGAGCACTGTGGCTCCCTGCTCCCTGCCTCCCCATAGCTCAGTCTGCAAATATCTCAACAGTCAACAGCAATGCCACACTAAATGCCTGAAAATATATTAGCTCATTTGATCCTCAAACTAAGCCCAGGATATAGGTGGGGCCAACCTCTTCCATCTTGTAGATGAGGAGGCCAAGGTTAAAAGCTTCCCCAGCATTGGACTCTTTCGGGGCAGAGACCAGATTCTAGGTTTCTTGCTTCGATCCCCAGAAATAGCTATCTCTCGTCCTCTTCTTCCTTTCGCAAGCAGATTCCAGCCTTTCGTTCCTTTCTCTTACCCTTTCCAAGGGAAGCAGTAATCCACAGGATCCAGCAGAATATATTTCTTAGATACTTCCCCCCCAGCCCCTACTGCCTACATTATTTGAGATAAGCACTTAGTCTCAACTCTCTAAGGTGGGGAGTTATTACAACTGGTTCCAACCAAATAAAGAACGTAGAAAAAATGCTTACACATTTGCAAATCCACTACCATCTGTCCCAATCCCACCCAGGAGTCTATCCAGGTCACACCCTTGGTGGCCTCAGCCTCACCCAGCTCCAGGTAGAGTCCCCAGCTGATGCCTGACAGCAGTGCCAAGGTGATGAGGTCACCCAGGCTTGCGGCGATGGGTGTGGCCACATTGTCTGGGTTGATTCCAATCTTGCGAGAGCCAATGATGACCCCAATCATGATCATACCTGGGGAGGACGGGGAGGGGCCAGTCAGGGTAAGAAGAGGTAAAGGGGTAGCAACAAAAGGGACTGGGAGTGCCAGGCCCTGCTGACACCTCTGGGGCAGGCCTCCCTACTCCCCTGCCCCTCCCGCCCCTTCCTTACCCAGTACCAGGGAGGCAATGAAGGCTGTGGCCACACTGCTGGCACAGAGCAGGAAGGCATGTGGGATGCTGAAGTGGCCGTCAGGGATCCAGCCAAAGACGACGGCTGCAATGGATGCCAGGAAGCCCACCACTGTGGCCTGCACCTGAGGAGGGGGCAGAGAGCTTCTTAGCTGAGGCTGCTGAGCACTTGGCCAGACCTCTTCCTGGTCTTCGGCAGCCCCAGGAGGCAGGCTGGGCAGGACTGTCCAGTCCTCCCAAGTGGGAATGCTGTCTTTATTTATTTAGTTTCACACCAGACACTAGAAACTGGGCCGCGCACCCTGCAGGAGCCCAGGACATGTTACTGGCTGAATGTGTTCCTCTGGGGATTGGGGTGAGGTTCAACAGCGCCTGAGACTTCAGTCCAGAGAGAAGGCCTGGGCCTCAAGGGGGAAGACTCCAGTGCAGAACCCGTGTGGCCTAATTGGGACATAGGACAACGGTGGTCAAGGATACCTCAGCACTCCTAAATCTGATTTTTGGGGACACAAGTCCCCTGTAGTACTGAGAGCTGAAAACTGACATTGAGATACTGGGGTCCTTCCTATTTTGGCTGTTGTCTTGGGAAACCTAGTTACCTCCTAAAGCTGCTTTGGGAGAAGCCAGCTCAGCAGGATGTTGGAGCTTCACTCAGGAGCCAGCTGGGGCTGACCTAAGCCTTTCAGATTCCTGACCAAGGAGGATGCTCAACCCAACCTCTTTGGTCCCTGATCTCTTACCTGGATGAGAGCCATATTCCCAGTGATCATCCGCCAGAGCTCCTTGGGTGTGTCCATGTGCCCAATGTTGGCCTGGGAAAGGGAGAACAGGGGGCTGAAGTTCCAGGCTGGAAAAGGCCTGCAGCTCCATCCATTAGAACCCTGCCTAGATCAGGAGGCAGTGCATGTGGCCTATGACACTGGGACCAGGACATGACCCTACGCAGAGTGAAGCAGGATCGGGGGGCTTGAGTGAGAGGGAAGGAGTTAAAGAACCTTGAGCTCCTGTGGCTGGGTGGAGGCACGAAGGAGGCTCCCCAGGCAGCCTCCTTTTCTCTGCTCCTCTCAGACAGCCGCTGAGCAGAGGCAGATTCCGTTCTCCACCCTGCTCACTGGGGCAGCCCATTTCTGCATGGGCTAGAATCACCTGATGGATCCCCAGTTCTGCAGCCAGCTTGCTGTCCTAGGGAAGGAAAGGCCGGCTACTGGTGCAGGACTGAGGCTGCAAGAGTGTTTAGGAAGGAGTGAGATCGAACAGGAGTAGGCCCAGAGTGGGGCAACCTGGGAGAGGCTAGGCTGGCTCTACTGCTTGCTCCAGACTTGTGGCCACATAGGGACACCCTTGTCACCTAGCTCCCCTGGCCTCCTAAGTTTTATTGCCTCCCACCTCCCACCTCATGTCCCTGTATCTGGTTCAGCCTCTGAACCATCATGGCTGATCTAAGGGGTTGTGGGAGGTGGGAGTGATGAGCAACCCTCCCTGTCTATCCCTTTAAAAGCCATGGGGAAAGGGAATGGGATGGAAGGGGGGCTGGGAAGGCCTGGCTCTGCTCCGGCCCAGCTGCAGAGTAGGGCTGGAGATCAGAGGAGGCCCCCATCTGTGCAGGTGGAGGGACCAGCGTGATGCTTGCCTGTCAAAGCTGCACAAACAGTCACGAGGCAGGTTGCGAAGCAGGGGGTGGGGCAAGAGTCCAGGGATGGCTGGGACATCCAGAAACTGAGCCTGGGAACCACTTGGGGCAGGGAGCCCCTGCCAGGAGCAGGACACCCCGCCTGGGATCTCCTTACATCCTCCCACCCCAGACCCATACTCCAGGCCTGAGCAGTTGAGAAAGGCCAGTAGTGATCTCCCAGCCTGGCCCTGTGCTGCCTGGAGCCCTCTGCGTGCCCCACTCCTCTCAGCCAGGACACTTACTGCGGTGGAAAGCCTGGATGCCAGGGTCATTTCCAGGTTCCCCTTAAGGCCCAGCAGTGCAGGCACCAGGATGAAGACCTCCGTCACCTTCTGGAAGACTTCCCAGTGCTACAAGGTGAAAACAGAACCCAGGAATTTCAGTGTCCCAGGGGGATAGTGTCAAGGTTGAAAAGATAGTCTGGAATCAGGGG